TTTGAAAGAGACAAAATAGAAATTAATGAATATTTTTTGATAAAAATGAAAATTCACCTCATTTTGGACAGACAGCGTAAAACATTTATAGCAAAAAATTAATTAATCTGTAAAACGGATAGCATAAAAGTTTCAAACACACATCTTACCCCTTATTCACTCAATACAGGTAGCATGGACCCATAAAAACAAAATAATATTAGAAATTTCCATGAAATGAATTTTTACATGAGTTGTCTTAAGTAGCTTTGAAAAATATGAACTTTAAAAAATATATACTGCAATTCTATCTGTTCGTCTTGTTTCAATTCATTGTTACTCTGAAGAAGTTGCTATAGTTTGCATTAATGATTCGTATACTATTCCACAATTTTTACTTGTTCTCATATCCAAATAAAAGTTAATCTTACATTAGTTTCCTTACACATAATATTCAATTCAAGATATAATTCAATTATTCCGTTTAAAAAAATCAATCTTTTTTATCTTCAAAGAACGCAAGTTCAAAAATGTATCTGTTTGAAAGTAAAAGCAAGAAATAAAAATGAGACCCAAAATTTATTGTTTGATTATTGACTTGATTTAGGCTCTTGTAGTACATATACCATAAGTAAAGCTTTTGAATGCTTCTTTTGAATAAAACCTTTTTGGTTGTATTTTTCATTTTGTTTGTATTACTTGAACAGTATATTCAAAAGTATGTCTGCTTCAGGAGGGGCTGCCATTATTTAGGAAAAATATGACATGAGTGGTAATATATTATTAAACTGAGTTTGTTTTAAAAATTTGTTTATTATACAGATCACCAATTAGACCAATTATTGAATAACAATACATTGCAGCATACTCTTGTCATAGATTTGGATAAACCTGGTTTCTACTGACCGGAAAATACATGAAAATGTCTACTCGATATGAAGACTACTGATATTTTTGGTAAAGAACTAAAACCATTGTATTCAAGGCCAATTTTTGATTTTTTTTTAAACATTTTGCTTAGAGACAACTCACATAGTTCACAATTCAACGATATATAACTGAAATACTTACAGTTCAATAATGTGGATTGTAGACGTTGGACAGTTGTCATTCACTTTCACGTGGCAGTGTTTATGACATTTAATTAGACAATCTCGACATTCGTAGCCCTGTTTACCGAATCTCCGAGCTATGCTTTTGCCACACACCTGACATATAGTTCCTCTGCAATAAATTTAGCAATAATTTTCAGAAGGACATCGAACACATTTATACTGACCCTTGTAAATGTTTGGCAACGAAAGTATGATCATTGAAAATGTGGAGTTTTGTGCCTTTCTTTCTCCATTTTGATTTTTGTGCTAAAGATAATGGAACGAGATAGTGTTTCTTGATACCATTTTCCAATGTTTCCAAAACCAAAGTGCTGGCTTCATTCACATAGGTTCTCGTTGAAGCAGTACTCATTCCCGAGGCCTCCGAAAGACTCGATCTTCTCGATGTTTCTTCCATTGAACGTTGACCAGGTACATTTAGGCGATAACCTTGATAAAAAAATTTGAATTATCCTAGAGAAATGATATTTAAATTCTATTTCAGATCAGAAGAAAAGAAGATGCTAACATGCCTAAACCATATTAACCCGATGAAAAATACGAATTTTTTCATATAGATAATTTAGATATACGGTTGGTTACCTCGTTCACGGGCAGATGGGGCGATGACAAATATGTTGTTTGTCATTCGCTTTAGCCTAGTTCGAGGAACGATACGCAGAAAGGAATTCGATTTTTATTTATGGGACTTCATGTTGATTATAGGCACTATCTTGCACCGATGAGAGGCTAAATAGCCTGAAACCGGTCTGCAAGTGTGGCCGTTCCAATAATTGAAAATCGATTCCTGCAGTTGTATCGTCAACAGCATATGCAGGAATAACTTCAGTGAAGAATCCTGCACTGACACCGTTGGATATAATCCAACGCCCTTCGTGGTATTAGCCAGGGGAGTAGTTGTTTTCTGATAGGTGATAGTCCATTAACCTACAGTGTAGATGTTGAGAATGGCCTGAACGATATGTTCTTTTGGATAATTTGAAATACGAATTGTTAACTGGACCTTTGAGATTTATTTTTTTCATTGAAAAATGATGGTTTTGTGAGACCAGTTAATTGGATACAAACCATTGAAACCGGACTGTGTTGGCGAGGAGAGCAACCTAGTTGGCTGAAATTGTGGAATGGGCATCTATCAGTCTATGAGATGATGACCAAAAATTCCCGCTGAAATCCACTTTCTACAGTAGCATGGGGATTCTCGTAGGCCCAAGAATAATTTTTGTGAAAGTTTATGATATCATCCATTGAAAAACTTGCTTCTTCATTTGATATACTATTAACGTTTAGAAAAGATTCTTTTCCAAAAATTATTCTCTCCTAAAAATACACCCTTTCAATTTAAATAAGAATCCTCTGACTGGGATTCAATGAAATAAGCGAATGAATGTTATTTACGTATTCTCAGGATGACATGAGTGGATTCGACCCATTCCGTGACAAAAAGTCGCAATTTTATGAACGAATTGAGTATTTTTTCTTAAAATGTTATTCGTATTTGGTACCGAAGAGCCAACAAGGCAAGTGTCTTACGGCGAAACATCAATGTCTACCAGTGAGGATGACAGTATTCTATGTAAGTGAAATTTGCTTATTTCATTAATTATATTGTGTAGGAATCCTGTGAACGATATCTGATTCAGTTCCATGACGAATGTTTGGAATACAAACGGAATAGAAAGAATGTTTTTTGTATAATTCAATGTTTATATTAAAATAGCTGTTTTGAGAGGGGTTTTTCCTTCCAGTTTGTACCTGAAAGTTACTTCTTTATATTGAGTTAATTTTTGAAATTGATGCTTCCTTTCTTCTTTTGGAAGGCTGCCACATTTTTTTGTATCAAGTGGAGAAGTAGAAAGCCAAAATTTTTCTTTCCCGAAAATTAATCTCCCCTAAAAATATACCCTTTCAATTATTTCTCATCTCAACCAATAAAAAAGAGTGAAGATTGTCAAGTACTAACTGGACCTGAACTTATGTTGACTAGAGCTGATTTGTTTGAATAAATTGTGATCCTTTTGGCAGGTATTTGAAAAAAATTATTGAATGGCCATACATGTTATATATTTTTTAGGTTATTTTTGAACTTTCTAGTTATAGTTCAACATTTGACTTAAGTTCCCATGGTTTTTTCAAAGCCAATCTATGTTAGAGCCGGAGCTAACAAAAGGCTTAGCAACGTTAAAAGTAAAACATACATGAGACTCATCAATTACCAAAAAAAAAATATCTACATTAGTTTCATGCCAAAAACTACACTGAAATTGATGAAAGTAAGCTCACGATATATACTTACTCTCATCATTTCGCCCTCTATCTGCAGATATGGATCTGTTCAAGGATTCATCTCTGCCAACATCATTTTCAGGTCCAACTGACTTAGATCTGTTCTTTGATTTACCTAATCTCCGTTTTATTGTCCCAAAAAAGTCTCTGCGTTTTCTAGGTCTACCTCTGAATTCTGCATCTGGAGGTGACTGAGACTGAAGCGTATTGGTTGTGGAAAAATCTCCAGGCTAGTAAAACATGAAATATTAATAACCCGATGAAAATTAGCTGTACATGCAGAAAAGTTCTATAAGGTGAGCACTAGATGAGAAAAAGGAAAATTTACAAATTTTGAAGTATGTATGGGTCTGACACACGAGTTTATAAAATACATTCTAGTGAATTCATATCAAATATACCTGGAACTACAATATTTTCTACGGTGACACTTATGTATCGCTGGGTAGCTGTGAACTTCTTGTTTATACTTCCTGTAAGTAACAATTAATTGTTGCTGGTGTGAATTTTAGTGGTTAGAATGATAAATATTAGTTTGATTCAAAAGTTTGGTCCGTTTCAATGTCATGTGTTTTTGAAGCTCCATACCGCAATAAATATTTATTCTACCTACTGTGTCTTAATATATTGATGGAGAATTTTGTATTATACATTAATGCTGTTAATTTTTTGCCTCTTTTCAGCTCATTACTATATGATGTCGTTAAGCGGTTTTTGGCCAACTTTTTTCTACGAATTCAAATTGAACCAAAGCGCTGCCGAGACAGCACAAAAAACTAATCAGCCGTTTGTTAATAAACGCACTGTTCGACGTTGTTTTGCGAAATTTTGATCCGGAGATTTTAGCTTCGAAGATGAGCCCGGAAGTGGTCCTATAGTAATCTCGGAGGAGGATTTGAGGACCTTGGTGGAAACTGACCCACCATCACAAACGATGCGTGGGATGGCGGAAGAAATAGTCGTCAGCTCCCATGTGGTTTGAAAGGTCAAAGGTGGGTGGAAAGGTCAAAGAGCTCGAAAAGTGGGTGTCCCACAATTGACAGAAATTGTCACGTTTCGAGGTCTGTTATTTTCTTTTGCGCAACATAAACGATCCTTTTTTGTATCGGATGTCACGTGTGATGAAAAGTGAACCCTCTACAACAAGGACACCAATGAACCACCCAAGCATTTCCCAATGGCGAAAACCCACCAAAAAAGTCGAAAACCCACCAAAAAAGGCGAAAACACACCAAAAAAAGGCGAAAACCTACAAAAAAAAGGCGAAAACCCACCAAAAAGACAAAAACCCACCAAAAATGAGAGAACCCACCAAAAAGTCGATAACCCTCCAAAATATGGCGGAAACCTACCAAAAAAGGCGAAAACCCACAAAAAAAAGCGAGAACCCACCAAAAAGTCGATAACCCACCAAAAGATGGCGAAAACCCACCAAAAGATGGCGAAAACCCACCAAAAAAAGGCGAAAACCTACCAAAAATAGGCGAAAACCCACCAAAAAAGGCGAAAACCCACCAAAAAAGGCGAAAACCCACCAAAAAAGGCAAAAACTCATAAAAAAAGACGATGGTTACTGAATGGAGGTCAGCGGCAGGTGTGATTCACCATAACTTTCTGCAACCGTGCCAAACCATCACAGCAGAGTACTATTGCCAGGAAATCGACGAAATGTACGTTGGTAAAATTGCACCGATTGAAATTGCACTTATTTCTATTAACTTCATTGACTATTCACTGAGATATTACAGTTTGAAATAAACTCATGGAAACGGACAAAACTTATGAAAACATCTAATACCATTCACACAGCAACGCACAAATTATTGGACTTGAATGATATTCATTGATATGAATTGAGTATTTACTGATTTTCCTTTTTCTGTTCAATTCATGAATGTAACGTTTTTGAGTATAGAATTAGCATGCTAAGTATTAGTAACAGAAAACTTCAAGTTTAGATTTAACATGCATAGAATTTTATCAAGTACCAAGATTTTCACGTTCTAGGAAACATATTTCTATTTCATCAACAGTGGGAGACATGACATACTGGTCTAGCAGGACTAGCGTTACAATTCATACAAATATATATACATATTTAGTTTCATTATATTTATCTTTAACAATTTTTCAACTTGAAAACATATTTGAGAGCTTGAACGGTCAGAATATTATTTCAAATGGAAAGCGTGAAATTTGAGGAATTTTTTTCTCACTCAATAAATTATTGCTTTGAATTGAACAAAAGAAAATTGGGTTTCTACTTTCATCAAATGCCTTTTAGTTAGTAACTTTCTTTTCGTAATCTTTCGTTCCCGAAAAATTGGATTTCAAGATATTGGCCAGATGTGATGAACAAAAAAAAAACAGATAGATTATCGTCTAATATACAAAAATTAATAATTTTGTGTTGTCAAAAAATATGTAATCCTAAATAAAATTAATTGAACGGAGATTTTAAGGTTACTTGAATTAGTATCATCCTGAAAATTTCACCGAGGTTTAACTGTGAAGTGGAAAAATATTTTTCGAAGTTATACAAAGAGAGTTTTTCAAAGTTCAAAGACTATTCGCAATGTTGATTAATTTGAGTCCGCTGGTTCAGCGGACTCAAATCAGATCGACCTACACTAGTACGTCGACTAAACGCAAGATCTGCCGAAAACATTGCCGCTCTCCGTGAGAGTGTGGAGGAGAAGCCGAAGCAGTCACAAGACCTTGGCTTTTCGTAGACCAAATGCTCAAAATGGGCACCTCCAGCTTCCATACAATGATAGAGATTCTGCTGGATACGTTCTCGAACATTGAAGAGCATTTCTGGAGTGATTTGGCGACATTCATATGTGATTCGTTGCCGTAAATCTTCGATTGATGCAGGAGGGGTACAGTAAATTCTGCTTTTCGAATGATCCCACAGAAAAAAGTCTAACGGCGAAAGTTCTGGTGATCGTGGTGACCATTCGATAGTGCCCCGCCTCCCAATCCAGTGATCCGGAAAAGTCTGTTCTAAATACTACCGAACAGGCAGAGCATAGTGCGGAGGAGCCCAATCTTGTTGAAATAATAGCAGATCCTCCCGATAATTGTGGTCATTTTCAATAATATCAGTGAGAAGGGGATCAATAGTATCTTCCAGAAGCTACAGATACATTTGTCCTGTTAAATTGCCTTCTAAAAACAATGGGCCAACAATACTGTCACCAAAAATGAGTATGTACTTCATGAAAATTGTGAGGGTTTGAATCAGCCTAATAGCGACAATTATGGCGATTAACTGTGCCATTTGCTTCATCACTGAAGCAAATGTTGAAAACAAAATGTGGATTTTCCACCGCTCGTTCACTAACCAACCCGAAAAATTGCAAGCGTCGATCGAAATCATCTTCATTCAGTTCTTGCGTTAATTTGATATTGTAAGGATGCATTTTGTGGGTTTTTAAAATACGCCGAATGCTAGTACGTGACACCCCGGAAACAAATGTTAACTTTCTTGTGCTCAAAGTATGGTCAAGCTCAACATGGCCCAGAATTGCCACTTGTGTCGCCTCATTTGTTACTGGTGGTTCGATTTGCCATTTTTTATTTGCTACAGATCCAGTTGCGCAAAATTTTGCAATTGTATCGAAAACATACGGTCGCGACACATTCTTCCCATGTTGTTAATTGAAAAGTTCCATAGTACAGTTCAATCAACTCAATCCTCTCTGCAGTTGTGTAAACCATTGTTTCATTAGCAACACTTTATGGCACTCACTACTAGTAATAATGTAGATATCACTTTTATGAAATGATCGAGTCTGAAAAATGAAAAAGTGAATGTCAAAATGTATTAAACTATAACGCTTGTCCTAAATTATAAATATTCCCTACAATATACTTAAAAATCGAATCCAAACCTTAACCACCTCACTGCCATTTGCTATTTCTATATTTTCACCATTAGCAGTACCGTTAGATTCTTTAACATCGCCATTAGACCTTTCACTACTTTCTTCTATCTCCTCCAGTGGTTTATCTTCTTCCTTATCTTCTACATTTACCTCTGTCCTTTCAACTTCCTTCCAAGTGCCATCACTTAGTTCAACCTTTGGTTAGTTGTAACAGAAAAACAAAAATAGCACACCAAAAACTGATTATGAGGTAAGTATGTGTTAATTTAATACTATAATATGGAACGGCAGCAATTCAACTGAATAAAGAATACAAGAAAATTCAACAGTCTTACCTTCACTAGCGTTTGGGAAGGTTGCTAAAATAAAATGATAGCAGGGTTAGTGTCAAGTGAAAATCGCCAAAGCAGATCTTCCAAATTTGCGAAAAGTTTCACTTACCCTCTGTACGCTATGTATGACCAACGATGATTTATTTGCACTCGACAGCTTATTATTCCTATCTAAGTCTCTGATTGTTGAGTCAGGTAAATGATTTCCATTCACAAGGTTATCTGCAAGAAACATATTTTTCATAATTCAAATGTAGAATGACTCTGAACTACAATTTCAGTATTGTAAAATTTAGTTTTGACAGTATCGAATATAGAGTTTGTTGAAAGATACTTGTTTTTTCAGTTACTTTTTAGTGTCCGACCGAAAGTTCGGTTTCGGTCAAGTTTCGGCAAAAAAAATGGGTTTCGGTTTGGTTTTGGTTTCGGCGGCAAACCTGCCGAAACTACAACCGAAACTTCATTCGGGAGTTCCCGCGCTGTGATCTGTCATATTCGGCGCGTTGAATTTCATACAAGCGACGAAGATATTTTGCCATGTCCATGTGCCTAATCATGTCGTGATTCAAGACTTATTTTGTGATTTTCTTTGTTTATTACATAAATATTAAATACTTATTTTGATACTAGGTAACAGCTTAGATAAGTAATTTTATGTTTAATATTTTTGAAAATCCATCAATAATATTCAAAAGAAGGATCTACACCTCCTCAAATGAACACCTCACCTATTTTAAGTATTTTTAAGATGCAATGAATATTTTTTTTCAATTAGGGTTTTTTACGTTGATTATCAATAAGTAAAAATGTCGAAGAATGTATAACGAAGTGAGTTAAAGATGAAAAAATAAAGACTGACTGATTATAATAACGTTTTCTTCATTTTTCCCTCAAAGTTTCGGTTTCGGCCGAAACTGAGACCGTTGCCGAAATTCGGTTTCGGTTTCGGTCGTAAAAACCAGTTTCTGTCGGACACTACTTTCATGTTTATAATGTTATGTACAAGACAATTATTTATGAGTGACCGAAAATATTCTATTATACTTAAAATCATTCATTTTATCTGAATCTACAATCATGTTTGTGCATCAGTTTTTCAGATACCCAGGACATTCCCTTGTTTTGTATATCACGATAATTTTGATGATTTTTATTAGGTACTTACTGATTTTCAAATATATGTGTACATTAATTGTTTATTGTTGTGATCAATATTTTAAACAAATTTTTAACTTAGGATATCAAACCATGTTTTTTCTTTTGTCCCAATTCATAGGTTTTACCTGCATTTGTTTCATTACCTTCAAGGTCGAAATCGTTTGTTACTCACTTTTGGTTTTTATTTTATGTTGTTCATGGATAGTTTTCAGGAGTGATTTTTTTTTCGAAAACGAAGCTTAATATGAGGAAAAAACGATGAAAAAGTTGTATTTTTAGTCAGTGGCGTTCTTTTTTATCAATATTGTTGAAAACATACCACTGGACCTAATAATTCAAATCTAGTTCGCCTTGTGTCTCAGAAATGAAGCATTCCGGATATATGTTCATAGGAACTTTTTTTCTTAAAACGACCTAACGAATCACCCTCTGAAGTTTCGTTCTATAGTTGGGAAACACCCTCTATACCCCGTTCAATTTACACTTTTCATATTTTAATGAACATTTTGTGACTCAGTAAATTATCTTCAAAGGAACAAAAGAAAATTACAATTTTTCTATTTCCAGAACTTATGAGCTTACAAAAGCATTTGTTAGGACAACCCTGTTGCATTTGAGCCTGTAGTGTTCAACAGTTTTCAAGAAATACTAATCATTCAAAGGTAACTGTGTGAAATCGAATATTATTATCAAATCTGTGTGAATGTTGAATGAGTTCAAATATAAATGTTCGGCTTACCATTATGGAACGTTGAAGTTGTGGTAAATTGTCTATTTCTACTGGGAGAAGGGGTTCTGATCGTTTCCTTGATCTTGTAGGGTTGATTGCCCAAATTTGGTATATCAGCTCCCTCGATGAATAAGAACTGTGAATGAACAAGATATGAATCATAAACCCTTTTAAAGAACACATGTCTAGGTATTGCTAGAAGTAACACTATGAAGGGTTTCTCAAATATTCTTCTTCAAAGATTGAAAGTACTATGACAGTAAAAGAGAGAGTAATGAAGAAAATAGAATTGAAACTTTCTGTTTTCACCACTTTTATTTGTAACTAACGTTACCGCAGTTTCGTCCTATAACATTTTGAAGCTTATACATTAAACTAACAATGATTGATTACATTAGCCCTTATATAACACCACTGTAGGTGATAATAGAGGTACTTGGCTTGATTGAGTAGCTGAATTTACAATTTACAATGCGGATATGCTAATTTGAAAACCATACGTTCAAAACAAAGGCAGTGAGAATGCTCTGTGCAACACTGAATTGTAGGCTACTAATTTGTGACTGTCTGGATGGAAAGAATCACTTGGGATGGTAATCTCTGTATAGCTAGGTTTTCTGAAAACATTGAACTCAAATTTATTCTGATTGTGTGTAATAGTCAGGTCTAAGAAATTTATTTGTTTATCTATCTCTGTTACGAGTGTGAACTGAATGTTGTAACATTAGTTACAAATAAAAGTGGTAAAAAACATAGAAGTTTCAGTTCTCTTTTCTTCATTATGATTTCCTACCACGTAGAACGGCTACATCCATCGATTTATTAAAAAAAGAGAGTGTTCAAAAATATATGACAGGGATATACCAAAAATGAAGAAAACCTTTCGATGCCATACGTTCATAATTCAAGTTTTACGAACCTACCTCCACAGTGAGATTTCCAGATACAGGGTCACTTTCGTATGGTCGACTCTGTAATGTGATAATCTGCCTCTGTGATGGATTAATAAGTAGTTCCTCAACACCTACTATACCTAATCCAAGGAATTTATGGGGTTTTACTGCATGGTCATATATTTCAAACAAGATTTCTGCAGTGTTTGGAGTTAAATCGCTGAAAAATTAATTATATCTCTATAATATATTTCATAAATGAAACCTTGTAACACAGCTACCGAACTGAGTCATGGCCGAAGGAAGTGACCACATCGTATCTTTTCAAGTTTGACTATTTAAAATATGTTTATGCAATTTACTCAACTACATCACTATTTGTAACGGTCCTGAATTTGGATGTTAACGGCTCGAATAATCTAACAGGCTAATAACAGATTTCTATACATCTACTGCACATCTTGAGGAAGGGACTTCTCACCGGCAATGACTCAGTCCGGAAGCTGTATGTATGAAAGCTACAGCTGCAACATTGAGATTCACATAGACTATTTTTCAATAAAAGAATGAAGATGAAAAAGAATGAAAAACGTTTCAAAACCCTTTTCAATATCGATTTCTCAAAAAATATTATAGTTCACAAAAGTTGATACACAGTCTATAACTCAAGAATCAAGTATGATATTTTCCATCATATACGGTACCCTTCTTATTTGAAATTCTAAAATTATCAGTTAGAATTTTTTGTAAATACAAACTATATTGAAAAGTTCGTAGGCTAAGATAAAAAAAAATTGATGAAATTATTCTCTTGAGGTCTGTGAGCAGATAAAGGTGCTGAATGCCAGATTTGGAGAGTATGGTGGATGTGGAAGCAATTCCAAGTCCAATTCATGCAATTTTGTCATTGTTTTCTTTGATTTTTTCGTCGGTGATAGCCTCTCTGGGGTGTCATCGGTGTTCATTTCACCTCGTTTAAATTTAGAAACCACTTCCCACAAAATTCCTTTTTATCCATTTTCTCCAAACTATCAAAATGTTCTATCCCGCAAACTAATAGTCCGACAGCTGTGAAATTTGTATAAGTGTCTTTTGAAGGTTAGGCTTAACTAAAAGTCATAAGGATTTGATACTAGTAGCGCCAATCTGTGTGTTAGCCTACGAAGTTTCCAGCCCATCTAATATAATTGAACTTTGAGAGACTTCACAAGTCAATAACATTCAGGTATTTTTCTCTAATTCAGACACAAATACTTTTTTAAGCCATAGAATAATCCATAGTGGAACTGAATATTACTTTTGTTCCTGCGAAAACTATGTCAAATAACAAATACTTATCGCCCAAAATATCAAAATGGTTTTGGAAAATAGTAAACTATATGTAACTAATGACCTCCTCTATTAAATCCAAGATTGTATTTGAAATAAGTTCTGTGGGGCAGGAATGTATCGTGAGTAAAGAAATTATTGGACCAGAAGAAGCATGTAGTCAATACTCGGATTAAATTTGAGATTATCTCCTCTTTTGATTCGAAAAGTTTCTTGATTTTTGAGTCAGTTTTGTAATCAATTTTCATTGCGGCTCTGCAGTTGGCGAAAAATGGCGCAATATTCAATTTTCAAACTTTATGAAAAGAACAAGTTATAAAATAGGTCTATTGAAACCATACCAAATCACCTGACTTGTACATAAATAAAACTTACAACAAAAAATGTTCCTCCCAAACTGGAGAATTCGTGTTCTTTTGAATAGCAGTCTGATTCTTTTGGGGAGGTTCGTCCATTTCTACAACACAAAATGGTTCTGCACAGCCTTGAGAAGCACCTAATTGTGATGCTCTTATCACCTTAACTAGAAGTCGTTTCTCTCCTTGGGTTTGCCCCATATTGGTGGCGAGGTGGTTAGGGGTCGATGTGTAAGTGTTCGACTAAAAATTCAACAGATCCATAAAATACATCAAACCAATAAGAACATTTACCATGCTGTCGTAATGCAGGGGGAGAAACTGGCCAGGGGTTGCAACATGTCGTACTAATCTGGGGCAGGTGGGGTACTGGGCCAAATTCAATTTCACTTCTGTACTCCTCAAAGCAGTCATTAGGATTTCACTGGAAAAGATTTTTTGGACTATTGAAAAGTATTTTTGCAATGGGAATTGATATAACAACTTAGTATTTGCGGTAAATGGACCTTCTCCCCTTTGTGTATTTTATAACTTGGGTTCTACATAATCTCAATGTATGACCATCAGTTCCCTGACACCCACATACGACTGAGAGAAATGATATTTGAATTATCTAACCCAATAACCATTGAAGGTTATCTGGATATACATCCAGTAGGGTCCAATGACTAATGATATAGACGGTAGCCGTTTGGGTTGGCGCGAGTGGTTTGTTGCACTCATAGTCCAGTCATCTCTGTAAGTTCACCTCGGAATTTGAGATACTCGAATGTCTATCGCCTTGTTAGCTCACTTCGTACCACACTTTCAACTAGTTTGCCTGTTGGTAGTGTTTATATATCGTAATGGAAGTGTCTGAAAGCCGATAGGGAAGTCTCTCGAAGCGACGCGACATCTAGAACAATCAAGAACCGCAATCGATTGATGAATACCAGCGGCGGTCGGCTTTATTTTTTTACGGGATAATTTACAACAATCTAAAATTAATGTAATACTGAAATGACATTGACCCTGAAACTGAACCTTAACTTTTCGTATAATATCATTGCAATTATTTTTAGTTTGATTCGTTTGAGGTATTTCTTATCTGAATTAGGGTAATAAACGGGCGATTTTTTAGGAGGTATAGGATTTGATTTTCAAAATTGATAAAATCCTTATTGGAATCGATAGAACGATCAGTAGAATTTAATGTTTGAAGATGAATTCATGCGAATGTTGTTCGCGGCTCCGCTTTAGATGGCCCATGTGCAAGGTCCAATTTTGGCAAACTCTCCCTAACATATCGACCGGTATTTCACGTATAAATGCTTCATTATTGGCTTCCAGAGCGTCAGTCGTTGCTGGTTTATTCCTGTAGACATGAGCCTCAACATGACCCCACAAGAAATAATCCAAAGGCATTAAATCACACGATCTAGGCGGCCAATTGACGGAGCCCAAACGTGAGATAAACTGTTCACCGAACGCGGCTCTTAATTGGGCTATTGTTTCGCATGCCGTGTGGCATGTGCCACCGTCTTGTTGAAACCACATGTCAGACATGTCCAATTCTTCCATTTTGGGCAACAAAAAGTCGTCAATCATCACACGGTAGCGCTCGCCATTCAATATTTTAAGTAGATGTTGTATATTTATTGTAGTACTCATACTTTGAAATTTTATTCCTGAGTTTAGTTGACTAACACATTGTGGTGTCGTATTTGATTATAGATGTACTGTATTAGCAGTTTCATTGCTAAATAAAGGATTTATATATAATCTCAATGTATGACCATCAGTTCTCTCACACCCCCATACGAATGAGAGGAATGATATTTGAATTAGCTAACCCAATAACCATTGAAGGTTATCTGGATATACATCCAGTGGGGTCCAATGACTGATTATATAGACGGTAGCTGTTTGGGTTGGAGCGAGTGGTTTGTTGCACTCATAGTCCAGTAAGTTCACCTCGGAATTTGAGATACTCGAATGTATATCGCCTTGTTAGCTCACTTCGTACCACACTTTCAACTAGTTTGCCTGTTGGTAGTGTTTTTGATTTTCAAAACACAAAAAATTTGAAAAAATTGATGAAATTGATGGAATCGATTGAACGATCAGTAGAATTTAATATTTGAAGATGATTTCATGTAAATGTTGTCCGCGGCTCCGCTTTAGATGGCCCATGCGCAAGGTCCAATTTTGGCAAAACTCTCTCTAACATATCGACCGGTATTTCACGTATAAATGCTTCAATATTGGCATCCAGAGCGTTAGTCGTTACTGGTTTATCCCTGTAGACATGAGCCTTGACATGACTCCACAAGAAATGATCCAAAGGCGTTAGTCACACGATCTAGGCGGCCAATTGACGGGCCCCAAACGTGAGATAAACTGTTCACCGAAGGCGGCTCTTAATTGGGCCATTGTTTCGCGTGCCGTGTGGCATGTGGCATCGTCATGTCAGGCATGTCCAATTCTTCCATTTTGGGCAACAAAAAGTCGTCAATTATCACACGGTAGCGCTCGCCATTCACAGTAACGTTCCGGCCATTGTCGTCTTTGAAGAAGTACGGCCCGATGATGCCACCGACCCATAATGCACACCAAACAGTGACTTTTTCGGGATGCATCGGTAGCTCTTGCAATACTTGTGGCTGGTCTTCACTCCAGATGTGTCAATTTTGCTGGTTAACGTATCCATTCAACCAGAAATGAGCCTCGTCGCTGAACACAATTTTTCGATGAAAATGTGGATCTTCCTCCAACTTTACCAGCGCCCATTCACCAAATGTTCGACGTTGTGGGAGGTCGCGTGGCTTCAATTCTTGCACCAGCTCTATCTTATAAGGTTTTACATCCAAATCCTTTCGCAAAATATTCCACGTACGGGAGTAACAGAGGCCCAATTGCTGCGAACGGCGGCGAATCGACATTTCACGGTCATCACGAACACTGGCGGATACAGCCGCAATATTTTCTTCGGTCCTCACTCTACGTATGCGTGTTGGTGGTTTAATGTCCAATAATGTAAATTGGTTTCGAAATTTAGTCATGAGCTTCCGAATAGCTCTCTTAGTAGGCCGACGAAACTGACTATAAATTGCACGATTGCACTTTCTTCACCGAGCATGAATTTTGATAATAAAATTCAATAATGTGTTGTTAATTCGTGAGTCGATTCATGTTTAAATTATATACCAAACTGAACGAGTTTGACAATGACACAAGACACGATTCACGCGTGATCTGTCAAAAACAGTGTTGCCAAAAAGATACCAGCAAAACAATCACTCTCATTACTTCCTAAATCAAATAACTAACTTGAACATATGTGTGCAGAACTAACTCATCCTATTAACTGAAAATACCAAAATGAATACAAATTCCATGATTAAATTCAGTTTGTTTTACCTTATCACCTCTTGTAACTGGGTTTCATCCAGATTGTTCTTGATGTTACCAACAGGAGCGAGAGCTACTTTAATTTCTGGCCACCCATCGCACTTAACGCTGGCTTGGAGTTTTTCAGAAACGCAGAAAATATTGAGTCTGGCTCTGAAACGATTAACATTCACCCGATAGTGGGAAGTTTCAACTTTGTCACCTTTTTGGCGGAAGCTTTTCAACTGAAACGCTGGAGTTGATTCGCAGTCGCATGTTATTGTCTGAAACAAAAATTATATATCTAAGGGTAATCTAAGGGTAAGAACAACAAATTACAGAACTGGTTAATACCACGACGGACATTGAATTATATATTACAGGTATGTGTGCAAGTTGGCTCGAAATTTTTGCAGATGCTTTTCCTTCGTCCGGCAGCAGGATATCGCTGAAATCAATCGAGTCATCACATACAGACCAATTTTGGAGTATTACTTCTCGTCAGTGCAGAATATATACAGCCAAGGCAGCAGTGTGTCCCGGGACTCGACTGGCTTCATTGTTGCTCTATCGCATATATGAAACGTTCGTCTGAAATACAACCTGTTCTTATGGTATTTGAGGGTTTGAAATTGATACAAGTTGAAAAAAATCATCAAAACTCATTTGATGATTTTTATTCTTGACCATGAGTGAAACAATTATACCCACACTGTTGAAATAAGTGGTAAAATCACCAAAACTACGGATTATTCACACTGTTAAAATAAGTGTAAAATCAGCAAAACTACAGAATTATTTACACTATTATTATACAAATTATTCACACTGTTAAAATAATTGGTGAAATCAGCAAAACTACAGATTATTCACTGTTAAAATAAGTGATAAAATCAGCAAAATTACAGATTATTCACGCTGTTGAAATAAGTGGTAATATCAGCAAAACTACAGATTATTCACGCTGTAAAATAAGTGGTAAAATCAGCAAAACTACAGATTATTCACGCTGTAAAATAAGTGATAAAATCAGCAAAACTACTGACTATTCACACTGTTGAAATAAGTGGTGAAATCAGCAAAACTACAGATTATTCACGCTGTAAAATAAGTGATAAAATCAGCAAAACTACAGATTATTCACGCTGTTGAAATAAGTGGCAATATCAGGAAAATTACAGATTATTCACATTGTTAAAATAAGTAGAAAAATCATCAAAACTACAGATTATTCACACTATTACAATAAGTGGTAAAATCAGCAAAACTACAAATTATTCACACTGTTACAATAAGTGGTAAAATCAGCAAAACTACAGATTATTCACACTGTTAAAATAAGTGGTAAAATCAGCAAAACTACAGATTATTCACAGTGCTAAAATAAGTGGTAAAATCAGCAAAACTACAGATTATTCACACTGTTAAAATAAGTGGAAAAATCATTAAAACTACAGATTATTCACAGTGTCAAAATAAGTGTAAAATCAGCAAAACTACATATTGTTCGCACTGTTAAAATAAGTGTTAAAATCAGAAAACTACAGATTATTTACAGTGTTAAAATGAGTGGTAACATCAGCAAAACTACAGATTATTCACACTGTTAAAATAAGTGATAACATCAGCAAAACTACAGATTATTCACACTTTCAGCAGATTTTTTACAAACCATAAAATATAATTTAATCACAAATGTTTTTCCTTGTAAATTTCGTGGTCAAAATCGATAATTTTGAGTTTGAAGTCGTAATTTTGAGTGATGGCGATGACGAACATGTTAAAAAAACTGTCCAAGAAATTAATTTCTGGATGTTATAGCATTAGGGTCATGAATGAAGAAGCCGGTTTTGCAGCTGCAAAATCTGCTTATCATGCACTAATTTAATCACATATAGGTTATACAATTGCTTTTTGGTGTGCATGCTATAAAAGGTCAATGAAGATGATTCAGGTTCACTGATAGAAAAAAACAATGACAACTTTGGGATGAGGAGATATATGTTCTTCTTGTTCATGAATATGTTATTTATCCTACCTAACATACAGTTGAAAACGTTTCAGAAGAGAAAATAAAAAAATTGGCTAGTCCAATGGCAATGTCGTTACAAGAATTGAATTCGAAGGGTTTCTTAAAGTTCCACTGACGATTGAAATAACCAGATTATTTTTTCAAGCCAATTAAATCATAACTGCGAATTTTAAACATTTTCCCCCCGCCAATGGTAATACTAGTTTTGCTTCGCCTATTTGTTAAAGCACTCCATCATTGTAATTAATTATACCTCTTGACCTTTACTGGTCTACTGATCACGAACGATGAAATGAATCAGTCATTTTTCTTTTTATTAAGTACTGGTAATTATAGCAAAACTGCGTCATAACTTAAAAAATATACTTACTCAATAGACATTGAACTGTGTCATTTGCTCGAAAGGATAATTATTGAAATTCCTGTAATGGTCAATTATTCAAGTAATGATCAGTTAAGTTACAAAAAAATTAAACAAATTATTACAAAAAAGTATAATTAGTTATCATCTGGAAAATGGTTTGCATACAATTTTAGATCACGCTCAAATTTCCTAAATATCAATACTTGTTATAGTATGGATGGAATCGGCAGATACTTTTTCTGCAAAAAACATTACGATCACAACATTTTCAAACAGGGTACCTAATGATTATAAATAGAACAGAACTTGTCATTTATATTCATTATTCATAAAAAACTCATTAGCTTGCGTTATTTTTTATTCACCGCTTTGACGGAATACATTTAAATACTTAAAAATGTACTATTAACCCAATCCTGAATGCTTTTATTAATATTAACGTTACTACTTTGTGACTAATGATATTCTTGTGAATTATTAAAATGAGATATGTCGTGTTGAATCCGGATATTTTTTAAACCGACAATTTATGAAATTGTCCATCTGAAGTTAGATATGTAGCCAAAAACCTGAAGCTGGTGCTGAATGCATTGAAAATATTACATGAAATTACGGTTCACTTACAAAATGCACAAATGAATATCATGCAATCAGTTGTGGTGATAAGGGTATTTTTGCTGAAGATTCATGAATGTTCTGAGAAAACTGACGACAAGAAACAAGAACACGTCTGTTTGGACAAAAAATCTACAATGTATGAACATCTTCAAGATAAGTAAAGATAACCTCAAAATCCCACACATACTCACTGAAATATTACAGTTCAAAGTAGACTCACAAAAACGGAGGAAACTTTTGAAATAAGCAATATTTCGAAAGTTAAATTATTTAAAAATTTTAACTTGAAGTACTTACCACGTCGTCTTTCGAGTCCGGTTCTGCAAAAATATTGGAGAGCGTGGGTGGATGGGTCTCTGGTAATATTCTTATCAGTTCCACACCGATTCCTTGCTGAAAAAGAAGATATAAATACAATAAACTTCGACAGGTCATGTGTTAAAGAAAACATTACATTTTGATAGTGTGGGTATTTTTTTATTCATGGATATTTAGTCAAAGTGATAATTTCCAAAAAAATCTTTCAAAAAAATCACCTTTTTGGCGGAAGCTTTTCAACTGAAACGCTGGAGTTGATTCGCAGTCGCATGTTATTGTCTGAAACAAAAATTATATATCTAAGGGTAAAAACAACAAACTATAGAACTGGTTAATACCACGACGAACATTGAATTATATATTACAGTTATGTGTGCAAGTTGGCTCGAAGAGGAAATTTTTGCAGGTGCTGTTCCTTCGTCCGGCAGCAGGATATCGCTGAAATCTCGAGTCATCACATACCGACCAATTTCGGAGTATTAATCCTCGTCAGTGCAGGACAGATACAGCCAGACAGCGATGTGTCCCGGGCCTCGACTGACTTCATTGTTGCTCTATCACATATAAGAAACGTTCGTCTGAAATAGGACCTGTTCTGATGGGATTTGAGAGTTTGAAATTGATACAAGTTGAAAAAAATCATCAAAACTCATTTGATGATTTTCATTCTTGACCATAAGTGAAACAATTATACCCACACTGTTAAAATAAGTGGTAAAATCAGCAAAACTACGGATTATTCACACTGTTAAAATAAGTGTAAAATCAGCAAAACTACAGATTATTTACACTGTTATTATTATACAAATAATTCACACTGTTAAAATAAGTGGTAAAATCAGCAAAACTACGGATTATTCACACTGTTAAAATAAGTGGTAAAATCAGCAAAACTAAAGATTATTCACACTGTTACAATAAGTGGTAAAATCAGCAAAACTACAGATTATTCACATTGTTAAAATAAGTGGTAAAATCAGCAAAACTACGGATTATTCACACTGTTAAAATAAGTGGTAAAATCAGCAAAACTAAAGATTATTCACACTGTTACAATAAGTGGTAAAATCAGCAAAACTACAGATGATTCACACTGTTACAATAAGTGGTAAAATCAACAAAACTACAAATTATTGACACTGTTAAAATAAGTGGTAAAATCAGCAAAACTACAGATTATTCACATTGTTAAAATAATTGGTAAAATCAGCAAAACTACAGATTATTCACACTGTTAAAATAATTGGTAAAATCAGCAAAACTACAGATTATTCACGCTGTTACAATAAGTGGTAAAATCAGCAACACTCCAGATTATTCTCGCTGTTAAAATAAGTGGTAAAATCAGCAAAACTACAGATTATTCACGCTGTTGAAATAAGTGGTAAAATCAGCAAAACTACGGATTATTCACACTGTTAAAATAAGTGGTAAAATCAGCAAAACTAAAGATTATTCACACTGTTACAAATAATTGGTAAAATCAGCAAAACTACAGATTATTCACGCTGTTACAATAAGTGGTAAAATCAGCAACACTCCAGATTATTCTCGCTGTTAAAATAAGTGGTAAAATCAGCAAAACTACAGATTATTCACGCTGTTGAAATAAGTGGTAAAATCAGCAAGACTACAGATTATTCACACTGTTACAATAAGTGGTAAAATCAGCAAAACTACAGATTATTCACACTGTTACAATAAGTGGTAAATCAGCAAAACTACAGATTATTCACACTTTCAGCAGATTTTTTACAAACCATAAAATATAATTTAATCACAAATGTTTTTCCTAGTGAATTTCGTGGTCAAAATCGATAATTTTGAGTTTGAAGTCGTAATTTTGAGTGAGGGGGATGACGAACATGTTAAAAAACTGTCCAAGAAATTAATTTCTGGATGTTATAGCATTAAGGTCATGAATGAAGAAGCCGGTTTTGCAGCTGCAAAATCTGCTTATCATGCACTAATTTAATCACATATAGGTTATACAATAATTGCTTTTTGGTCTGCATGCTATAAAAGGTCAATGAAGATGATTCAGGTTCACTGATAGAAAAAAACAATGACAACTTTGGGATGAGGAGATATATGTTCTTCTTGTTCATGAATATGTTATTTATCCTAC